GCTGCTAGATTTGAACCTGTGACCTTTCGGACTCAACTCCACATCATCAACAATCAAGCCATCACTGCCCCTTAAATATGATAAAATAATATAAATATAAATATGGTTAAAGAACATGTATATAAACACAATCCCAGGGGAGAACTGGGAATTTAAAATGGACAGTGTTATTGGTTTTTTGTAAATATTCTCACTGGCAATATTGTACGCTCTTCTGTTTAGAAGTGGTAAAAGTTCAGAAGCATTGGGTAAACTTTAGTTTGTGATTGCAAAAATTCTTCTTCTTCATCTGGAAGTATGAATAACATCTTGACCTGGAGAGTTAAGTAAAGAGGAAAATGAGAAATGGAAGGCATCCCTTAAATGGACACACTCATACTTGATTCAAAGCCTATTTATAAAACATTATCATCCAGAAAAGTGTCTTCCATTCGTTCATTGTGGACGTGCACTGGAACTCGTTCACTCATGCCTCATACTCTGTATCTGAGTCATTGATGGTAACAAGGGAAGTGAACCTTTTTTTTCATTCAGCCTCTTCACAGTTTACAAGCTCTTGTGGTCTTGACACCATTTCACAATGACTGCAAATAGAAAAATGTGTGCGTGCAGGCAGTCATGCTGTACAGTTCTGACACTGCAGCAGACCGAAGCTACTGCAGGATTTATTGTAACGGGGAGGGGGGGGGGGCACATTTGCGTCATCACACTTCTCAGTACTTTAAAGTTTTTTTTTTATGTTTTAAACATGAAGTAAATCTCCTGATGTCGCATGATGAAACACAGTATCAGGTCCCATGAGCTTTAAGGTCACACCCACACAGTTCAACCGAAGTCACCTGGTTTAACCTGACACTAACCACACACACACGCATATGAAGAATTCTACAAACTACATCCTGTTCTTATGTCATTCTACCTATGTTTTCTACTCTGTAACACTGACCTATATACTTAACATGAACAAAACATAAACAAAAAAAAATATTTTTTTTCTTCAATAATATTTTAAAAACTTTAAAAACTAAATGTGTTCTTATTTTTAAAATGTATTCCTTAAATGTTTTTGTTTGAAATGTGTTTTGTTCAACTGTAACTGTTGTGTCTGATACAACATCGTGTGTCATTTTCTGCGGGCCTGCTGAAAGCTGGCTAAATGACAGTTAAAGTAGAAAACACAGGAAGCTGTAGGAACCAGTGGCTCTTGTTCTGTGCCACATAACAATCCACACCACCCAACGTGTATTATGTGAAAAAAAAAAAACTTGTATTTGATTGTGTGTGAGGGAATTGAAGTAATAAGCTTGTCCGAGCAAGTCCTGCACCGAGCCATTCAGTCGCTGCCGAGGAGGTGGAGACACAGTAAGCTGCTGTAATTCTCCTCCAGTGTGTGTCAGAACTCAGGACTGTGTTTAATGAACCATGTGGTGTTAAAACTCAAGCTTGACGCCTGAACACGGTAATGGTAAAGATTTATAAACCAAAACAATGTTTGGAGTTATAACTTCTCTTCTGGCCTTTTGTCCTCTGATAGATCTTTGAAAAAACAGCGTCCCTGTTGCCACTACTCCAGGGACCCCAACCACCGGGCTGGGGACCAAAACTGTGACGTGGATAATTTGGTACTAGGCCACACAGAAAGAAAAACGTTTTAGTTTTAATTTGTTTTTATTTTAGTTATTCTGCATGGTATTTTATTTAAAAAAAACACTTTTGTACACACCTCTATATAAATTAAATGTTTAAATGGAGGTGAAAGTACATAATATAAAATAATATTTGTAATTACATTTTGTGTTTAGTGGCGCTTTGGCCCAGAGGCAATGTCTCTGTCATTGGTGTGGAACCCCTGGGTTCACCTCCTGGGCAAGTTCGAATCCCGGTTAGGGCGGTGGTACCTTCCAGTGGACTCACCACCCGTGGGAAGGTTTGGGGGGTTGGTACGGTGCAGTGTGATTTGGGTGGCGACTGCTGCCCCCGCGACCCGGTAACGGATAAGCGGATGAAAATGGATGGATGGATGGATGGATGCATTTTGTGTTTAATAATTTTATTATTAAACTGTAGTGTTTCATTTGTTATGCAGCACCTCACACTGCCTTGCCACAGGGGTGTGGACAAATGATCTTGCAAAAAATTCAGTCCACGTTGCAACAAAAGCTTGGAACCGGTGTTTTAGAGGAGATGTCCTTCTAAAGACTTCCCTCAAGGACGAAGCCATACTCCTGCTCAAGTGCAGATGAGTAAGAGTCAAGAAACAGGCAGGGTGCAGAGGAAATCCTCCTAAAAAAGTTTCAGGAAGCACCATGGGGGTTTATTCATCTTCAGGAACAGCAGCTGGATAGGGACAGAATGTCAAAGGCCACAAAGGTTAATTCTTTGTTAAATTATTAGTCATACTGAGTGTGAGAGCCCTGTTCTCTCACACGAGTGCTTCACAGTGCTGTTTGTTGCCCAACACTCCTAATAAAAAGGTGTAAATATTGATAGTACTGATAAAAGTCTACGATGACGAAATCTGTCACGCACCGGTCTTTGTCATTTCCAAACCCTTTTTTGTAGATGCTGTTGTGTTCAGGGAGGGGATGTCTGCTGGGACTGAGTCAGACTAAATATCCTTCCTCACAATGGTCATCGGTATTGTCCAAACACTGACCGAGACCAATCCACAATGAGGAGAAAACTAGGAAATTCTTGGACAAATAAACAGACTTTGATCTTGTTGAGTGTCTACGTCCTTAGTCCCGGGTTTTTTTCAAACATTGGAAGTTCTTTAAAGAAAATAATAAAAGCAAACACAACAGACAGGTTGGACTGGTCAACTGTCATGAGGCGTTTTCATTGTTAAAAGGGAACAATTAACATTGTTCCTGTTTGCTATTATAAACACCTTTCAGTTGCCTGAAGAATGAAAAATGACGAAAACAAATTCTCGAGAGAGACAGACCAGACAAAACACCAACTACTGGTTAAATAAAAATAAAATGGGTCGTGAAATTGTTTGTTGTTTATCCATTGATACTCACTAAATTGCAAGTCTACCTACACTATCTATGAGTTCTCTGGAAAAAATTTTGTTTTATTTTGAGGTGAGGCAAGCAACTGATATTCTGTTGCTGAAAGGCAATATGATGGCGCCCTCTAACGGACAACTTATATACAACATTTTGATTTTTTATTTTGTTTTATGTATGATGTTGTTTGAAGCACAGTTATGAATCTACACAGGCACCACCCAATGCATTCAACACAATTCACCGAAATGAAATGTCTATTTAGTAAACAAAGTATTCTATTGTACAATTATATATATATATGAATGTATATATATATATATATATAATTGTGCGTGTGTGTGTGGATGCTGTTCTACCTTTCTTTTTGGGATTAAACATCTCAGCTCTCACTTTGTTGTATCAATAAGGCTGAACAAAAGCCAGTATAAATATTCTATGAACGTTCTCATACATAATCCACACAACATTACATCCAGGCCTGTGATGGTCTGTACATCTGTCTGAAGCTTTATACTGATCCAGTAGAGCATGGCTGGAGCTCTGCGTTACCTCTTCCGGACCATTATTACATTAATGTCACACGCTGTGCTTGGCTGCCAGCCCATAATATCTCTATTGGGATTGGGAGTTACTGGAACTATACTGTGTATTCATGCAAGGTATCAAGGGAGCTATAAAAGACCAGATAATTAACTCAGGGTCCAACCAAATAAGTCATATAATAATAAATTATTCAGTGTTTGCTGGCTGATGAATGCACTCGCTCCTCATATTGCAGGCAACATGATAACGCCTCGGTGAAACAGTAGCAATTTACTGCTGTCATTTAGCACAGCTATACCTGCTCTAGATCATCCTCATACACAGATCTCAGATTAAGTGATGAAACAATGTTCTCCTATAGAGTACATCACAGTAGTTAAATTTGTCAAAGTTGTTGGTTACTACTACTGCTACTTTTGTGTTACTACTATAGTACTCTAAGAAAAGTAAGAAAAGTAATCTTTGCCTGTTTTGCTGCAGTAATATCCCTTGCTATATGTTCCAGAAGCACAAACTTGCTTAATATACTGCTTACTCCTATATATTTAAATTTACTCTACTGGTTCAGGTGCAGTGGCGCTTTGGCCCAGAGGCAACGTCTCTGTCATTGGTGTTAAACCCCAGGGTTCACCTCCTGGGCAAGTTCGAATCCTGGTTAGAGTGGTTGGTACCTTCCAGTGAACTCATGACCCACAGGAAGGTTTAGGGTGGTTGGTAGGGTGCAGTGTGATTTAGGTGGCGACTGCTGCCCCTGCGACCCAGTAATGGATAAGCGGATGAAAATGAATGGATGGATGGTTCAGGTGCTTCATTTACTTGAGATTTTAGCAACAGTGCTTATTGCCTCCTTATGGCTCTATTCTCCACTGTCCAAAAACTTCTTCAAACCTAATCAAAGACAGTTGGTAAATGTGACAGACAAGTAGCCTCAGAGTTGATAACACATCACCATATTCTTAATACAAACCCTAAAAGTATGTTGAATATATTTTTAAATAGGCAACGCAATTAAAATGTAAGTTTGCTGTTAAAACATATTTGTTGTTGTTTTATCGCCCTTTTCACCCGTTTCTGTTGACTCAAAAATATATAACATGTTTTACTGTCTAGTTAGTATGGTAAAATGCAACTTTATGGCGGTATTGATTAGAAAATACTAGTTATTTACAAGTTACTTATAAGGTATAAATGGACGGAATTAGTCAATGAATTATCAAGGAAGTTAAGTTTTAATCTCTATCATTATTATTATTATTTAAAACAAAAAAATTAAGTTAGCAAACAGGGCGGGCCTTAAGGGTTAAATCCCTTTTGTTACCATAGAGATGCAGACAGCGGTTGCTTTGACAGGAGCATGGAACTGTGGGAGGGAGGGGTGATTTAAGGTAGACTGGGCGGGGCAGAACACAGTACGCAGTGACTTGATTGGTCACCGTTGAGTCACATGTTAAGTTTGGAACGCAAATGAAGAGTGTCTGTGGCCTTCCGCTGCTCTCCGCTCTTGTGCTGCTGTTTTCTCTGACACACGCATTCCAACCATTTGGAATTAGTGTTGAATTTCAGGGAAGACGGCGAGGTAGCTCGACTGAAGACGGGAGACAAGCTTCCAGACGAACTGCTGCCGTAAGTCGAACTCCGTATTTCACTTTTTTGGCAAGCGGGTGTTTTCGTGTGGGTTGGTCAGTCAGTGGCCCAAAGCTAACGTCTCCACGGGCCCTTTAACAGCAACAGCAGCAAACGAGAGCAAAACAACAGCATTCGACTTCTGATTGTGGGTTGGCGTGTGTTAGCTTGCGGAATTAAACATACGAACTCGCAAAATCAATATAGTTGACAAGTGAAGCTGTGTTGACAAACGAAAGGGGGCTAACAATATTAGCTGATGTAATGGAATTCAGTGACAGCGACCGTGGTGAAAACTTACTATGAATGAAATTTTACTGCCGAGTAAGAACCATGAAGTGAATCTTCCCAGCTGCCGTACGTCTGCCGGATGTTGAAAAGTTGGAGACACTCATTGAAAAGTTAATTGTCGTTGTTGAATATCTTCTATTATACTTTGTCATGTTGATGTTCAACATGACAAAATAAAACACGTGGTGGCCTTCAGCTTTCACTTCAATCTAAAGTGTGGTTTATTGACTGCAGCCCGATTTCAGGAAAAAGTTAACTTGGAACAGAGAAAATTACATTTAATTTTCTATTCAATAAAAAATGAAATGTTAAATAATTTCGCATAAATCTACTATATCCCCTTCAACAATGTGCACATATTACTGAGAAGTAATATTGGACTGGATGAAATACCTTCAAGACGTTCCCCTTCTTATCCAATGGGCTTTTTCAGTTTTTAACTAATTGTGATTGAATGACCTGTATGGCTGTTAACCTACAGACTTAGTGCGTACAAGTCTTAACTTTGGCCATATACATTTTTTTTCTACTTTTGACTTGTGTAATACTTTTAGCTCGTTGTTATTCTTTTAGTAAATTTCTTATAACTTCTTATAGCTCTCTGGAAGGAACTCAAGGGGTCCCCCAGTTTTAACTGGGGGGCTATGAGTCTTCCCAGACACTGACAAGTTAGCCAATACTTACTGCTGTAAGTGTACACTAAATTCCAACTTTTGTCATCCAGTTTTTGTTCTTTGTCATTGACTTGAATAAATGTTATTTGATCTTTTATTTAAAATGTGGCTCCAGTCGAACTGAGAGAGTTGGTTATTATTGTCTACTGTAAAATGAGAATTCTTGAGCATTTATCAGGTAGGCCAAATAAATAAATGTTACAGACTAACAAGTCCAGCAGGTCAATCTTATTCTGCATGATGAATTTAAATTCTTTAACCTCTGTCTTTCATATAAAAGTTTGCCAACTCTTAAAGAAGATGAAGTGACGTCTCTCTTCTAATGGGATGTTATCAATCTCACTATCAGCATCAGTTCCAGTTCATTTCTATTTTGCTGCTCGAATACTCTTTTTGGCCACATACTTTATAAACTGTTTGAATTTTAATTATTAATTTGCTTTGCAACATAAGTTGGAGGATCAGCCCGACTACTATCAAAATAGGCTCTGCTCCTGTTCATCTCAGAGTTGACCTATTTTGTTTTCTCTTTTGTAGTGCAGTCATCACTTGAGATTGATGCCTCAGCGGCAGCTTTAAAAAAAAAGACCTTCTGGTTTGAAGTGTGCTGGTAATCTGTGCGGTTTGCCTGGACTATTTAACCTTGATATTTATAGATCAGAAGAAGATTCTATCCTTTCTGTCTCTTTCAGTCTGGCTGTTCGTTTGTACTCCTCTCCCATAGGTATTTTAAACGTTTTTAATAAGCCAGGCGATTTCCGGTATCCCTGGAGCAATTTACACCTGACAGACCAGGGTTTTGTTAAAGACCAGAAGCTGAAAGAAAAAAATAACAATGTTTTTTGTGCAGAGGCCAGTGAAAAATTATTTAAATTTGCTCATGTGCTAGAGTGACATAAACACACTCCATGTTTAGCCAGACTGATCTGGAAGGCTGCCAGGTTATCTTTGTGCAAGTGTAGCATGAGCCAGCTGAACAGTTTTGGCTTGGGACTAAAAAAATGCTTCAGTGTTGAAAAATGACTTTTACATCAAAACTTTAACCTCAGATATTAACGAATTACCATACTTCTTTATTTGGTTTGATGGTTTTGATTCATGCTAAAAAAAAAGAAAACCCTCAGGCCATTTGATTGATTTTTCTGGAGAAGTCTTCCAGATTTTGTGCAAAGTTCAGTTAAACTAAAACGGAGGGAATTTCAGTGGTAAAAGGCCGGTGTTGCTTTGACCTTGCAAAACACATTCACTCTGATGATTGATAGATGTGCGTGTGCAAGGAAATTGATTTCCTGTATGATCAAGATTCTCTTCCTTCAGATTTCACATTGCTCTTACATATCAGGAGATTGATTTTGCCTCGTCATTGCATCATTTACGTATGATCATAGGTTAGCCCAACAAATGTACGAAGTATGGGTCCTGGGATCAACAGAAATCCAAACTGACTTGACTGAATGCCGTGATTACCAGTATTTGTTCTTTGATGTCTTGAAAATGCCTAATTAAAGTGCCTAATGTAATTTATTAAGTGGGGGTGGACCACCACAGGCCACCACAGGCCATGATGCTATTTTGGTGCAGAAATGAATTTTTAATTTTACATTATAATGCAATTATATTTTCATTGTAAAATGAGAATAACGATTTGAAGGAGTGGCTACCATTCATACATACAAGGCTCGTCTGTGCTAACTGCCAACCATTATAAAGTTACTCGAAGTTATGGAATGAATTGCATTAGTGGGGACTATGTCCCATCACACTGTGTTCCGGTTGGTTACGTCAGCACATTTCAAAAATCACCTTTACCAAAAATGTATTCAGTACTTGAACGGAAATAAGTTAAATATTTAGTACATATAATTACAGATTTTTGGATTTTACATTGAAAAAATAAAAAATAAAGGTACATGTAAGACCGCGGTCTTTATTTTTATCTGTCTTTTCCTTAAACCATTTCAAGCATCCGTTTTGTCCCAGATGCAGCGTGAAGGAGACAGGATTGTTTGCCTGTATAACTCGTTTAATCCCAGTGCACTGACACTACTCTGTGTTTACTCCTGAATCATGTTGAAGGTAAAGTTTCTGTGCCGTCAGGAGTGGAGGTGCATCATCAAACAGCGCACATTAGGCTGAGCGACCTCATCTCTGTTCTTTCCATCTGTTTTGACCCCCTCCCCTTGCCCCCCAGCTGCACAGCTCAGTTTTCCAAGTGTGAGACTCAAGGGTTTTGTGTCTGGCTCTGCCACCAGCTAATCTATATGCTAATGACAAGATAATAATCAATGCGGTTCATGCATGGTTGGCCCCAATCAATACGACATTGCAGCAGCAAATGATTCAAATAGCTACATTTTATACAGCCAGACTTTTGAGTGGGGTGTTAATGTGCTGTGGGGGACCTTAAGTATGCCATTATTCTTGGTTTTTTTTTTATCTCTCCTATTCAATATAAATGAATTCTGTTGTCATTAGGAAGAGGTTTGCATGCACTTTAGAGCGATCAGGTTTCACTCTTCACATGGGCTCTGCCATTTCAATCTCCTGTTATTATGCATTTCATTTTTACTGCTGCTATAAATAGGTGCTTTGTCACAATCTCTTTGAATTGGCAGACATGCTCGCTCTCTGTTATCGCTTTGGCAGAGTCATTTTAAAAAGGGTGGCTTAAACGTAGAGACAACCCAAGGACTTCACAAGGATCAAAACTGACCCTTTTTGTTTTTTTTTCATCAGGATTGTCACTCCTGAGCAATTGGCTGGTCAGCAAACCATGCATTCTGTTTGGTAGAGTAGGCCACTCACAAGTTGACGCTAACACGTCATTAACTTGGAAGTTGTTTACAGTGCGCCAAGAAAAACTCACTTACAATTTGTAATATTTACAGTGCAAAGTTGTTTGAAAAAACACACCAAATTCAACTCCTAAAACATACATACAGCCAAACACATCCTGTTCAAGGAGGCTAACAACAGTACATTTTCCTTTTCTTTTCTTTTTTTCTCAGATGAAGTGTAATTGGAGCTGATTAAGCAAGATGTTTGGAGTAACATTATTTTTATGTCATGTCAGAAGTCAAAGACAAACTAAATGAGTCTGCCTGCTGTCACGTGATTTGTTTCTGATTTTATTTATATGACTGTTTTATCACTTGGACACAGCAAAGAAGCAGATTGATGATGATCACTATACTGCTAGTTTGATCGAGTTAGATGTTCAGTGCTTATGTTATGAATGGTATTATACAGAATTAGCTTGTAAAAATTGTACTTAGAACAAATGGCTTCATTTAAGGCAGTAAATTGGAAATGGGGTGTCCAGTTCTTAGCAGTCCAGGCCAGGACCAAGCCAAGATAAAGTGTGTCATGTCTGTCAAGTGCCTTGTTCCTCTGGTACCTCATATAAAATAATTTAAGTGATGATTAAAGCCAACCTTTTTTTGGGGAGCTCCTGTACACCCACCCATAAAAAAAAAAAAAATCAGATTGCAGGCAGAGGGGGAGGGGAGAGACGAGCTAAAATCATTACCATCGTCTTCATTAGGGAGGATCCTGTTGTCCAATCGGAGTGTTGCTCTCCACGGGAAATCCACAGACGCCCTGTTGGCTGTCGCTAGGATACCACATAATCAGGAGGCAGTCCGTGGCCTGGTTGGTTGAGTGGTGGATGCTGGGACGAAGAGCTGGCTGTGTGTGTTGGGGGTAGAATAGAGCGACTGAGGGTTTGGATGCAGCAGGGAACCACACTGACGCACGCTCCCTCATTCATTTAATCAACCATCCAGCCAGGCACTTGGTTATACAGACAAAGAGGAACAGCACCGGCAGGAGGACAGCACGCTCCCGGGGGATGGGGCATCATACCCCTGCATCGCGCTGGGGGTGCCAGAGGAGGTAGGAACACCAGGGTTGGGGGCTTTGTCTGAGCACCTACGACAGCAGCATAGTTTCTCTGTTTACATACAGTAATACATTTCTGTAATGTCCTGGCTCTTTAAGCCATTAGTACACATCCATCGATCTTCTCATGGTGTCTTATGTGGCTCATCATAATTTTGTCTTGTGTGGACATAAAGGTGAGCAGTTGATGACTGTGATTTAAGCTTTGAAGAGACAGCCAGTCTGTCTTTCAGACCTTTAACAGCTCCTCTACACAGATCTGACAGTCATTTCTTCAGCTTTTGCTTTACCAGCATAGGGAGATCAATATATTGTCTTGTGTGATATTCAGTGTTGTTGTTGTTGGCAGTAGTTTGTGCTGGTGCTGGTGCTGCTGCAAGTGATGCCCTAAATCCTCTTCAAGCTACTGACATACTTTGTATTGGTATCGTGTTCACTAATAGAAAACTCAAGATTCACTGTAGTCATAAATACAAAATGGAAATGGGGTTGAGTAAATGTGTGCTTTGTGTGTGTGTGTGTGTGTGTGTGTGTGTGTGTGTGTATGTGTTTGAATGATGGATGAGTGGTTCAGAAGATGGGGGGCTTAAGTGATGGTATTATTACCAGAGGGGATTCCCTCCTGTCTACACAGGGAGCCAATGCGACATAGACTTGGATGTAGGCTAATGACTGCATCCAGACAGACAGGCAGCATTTGACAGCATGCTGCTTTGTTTACAACCTTGAACTCATTCTGCCTAATCAGATTTCAGCTCTTTCACACAAGCACACATGTAGACAAGAGATTTTAATTCAAGACAGACACTGCTGGCCTGTTTATGTTGTGCAGTAATTTAAAATTAGATCACATTTTCTTTAGTAATTGTAATTTTCCATAGACTGTTTTTCAGTTTGTAGAAATGGTTTATTACATTTCTCTAGTATTATATTTTAATAATCACATTGTCCTGAAAGTATACATTATCATTATTTTTCCCAATGAAGCCATTCAAAGTTTCTGTCTTCTGCAGTGAACTGTTCATTCATAGACTCTGTTGTTTACTCCAAAGCATTAGAACGATCTAAGAATGTTCTGCCAATTTGGATGAGAGGCGTATGGTTTAGTTAAAAGTGCATTTTGTTTCTTCGCCTGATTTGAAGCATGAATGTTCTAGAGAGCAGTGCTTTGCCCACTAATCTGTTCAAAGGAATAATGAGGGGGGAGGAAATAGCTTTAGAATTGCGGTATGGCAGCAGCATTGGTGCTTATGTAATTACTCCCATCACTCCCTCTCCCTCTCTTGTCAGCCCTTTTATCCTGCACATACTCATCCAACCCCTGACCCTTTCAAGCTCCTTGTCTCCTCTATCCATCCCCCTCATAACTTTGCGTTCACACCTCTAACCTCAGGACTAGGAACTCCATCGTCCTGGTTCTGCCCTTTCATTTCAGCTGTGTTTCATCAGCTGCAAGTTTGTTTGTTTTTTTTTCACAGATCTTTCTCCACAATACCGCCAGAATCTCAAATACTAGATATTATCAGCATCATGAACACACAGCACCTTCAATAATTCTGGACTAAATAGCCTCTATGAACTTTGCTTCTCATCCATGTAATGTAAAGCACGTTCCTCCTCAGTATTTCTTTCTTATTTCTTCCACTGTCTCAGTTGTTTGGGGAGCTTCTGGGCCATTTCCTCTCATGTTAATGGAAGGCTAGACCATCAGGGGAGAAACACTTAAAAGGACTTTTATACCAGGCCCTTAAATCTTGTCTGTCTGTTTAGCTCATCCTCATTAGTGATGAAGAACTGAATGCTTTACACAATAAATATGTTGTTTAGTCTTTGTCTTTAAGAATTAATTGAATGTCTGCTACAACTATTTAAATATTCAATTTTGAATATGCTTAGCCTATGCTGCCTTCAAAGTATCTTCATCTGGTTTTTGCAACAGCATGGCTAATAAAAAGACAATTGTTCCATGTTTCAATTTTTAAAAAATATGTGTCAGCTGCATAGGCAAACTTTCTTAAGTTTGTCAATGATGGACTGTAATTGGATTTTGTAGGATTTTGTAATTGACGAATAATAATGCCTGAGCTTTGAGTATACTAGTCAGAATCTACTTTACATCCTGTCCACACTGTGACAAGGGAAAATGTTTTCAGAGACCTGCATTGCAGTTTGGCAATAACAAATATTTTAGTGCAAAATATTTTTGCTTAATATTTCAACCAGTTGTAACTGCTTTTGACAGGTTGACACATTTGACATAGATTTATGGTTATTCCCTGGCTTGCGTTTTTATTCGGCTCAGTGTTTTTTATTTTTTCAAATGACAATAGAAAGGAGAATCACAGTTGTTGAAAAAAAAACGTTCTATTTACATCATACATAAACATGGATTATCAGGAGGTCTTCCATTGTTGTCAGATGTTAGACAATGTTTCTATTAGAAAGTGTTTCTCACAATTTTGCAATGAGCCATATACAGTGTGTGTGTGTGTGTGTGTATATATATATATATATATATGTATATATATACAGTATGTATGCATATATGGATATATATGTAGAGGAGAAATAAAGGCAAAATAAAATAAACCAATGCCATGAATGTTTGCATGTTAATTGTAAATAAAGAACAATGCTGTAGAAAAGTGAAATTTTAGTGTATTGATAATTTCTTACGCCTGTGATGCATTTTGAGGTTGAATTAGTATTCGCACTTCTACTCACTTCTTTTTTTAAAATAGTTTTTTTGCCTTATTCTTTTTATTTTGGTTGGTTGCTTGTTCATTGCTTTATGATTCAAGGTTGTTTGCATAACTGTTTGCACTGATTATTTTTTGTGTTCATTATTTCTCACAGATCTGTTGAGTTGTTCATTTCTAGGAGCATCTAAAATGCTGGGTGAATTTGGACAAAAAGAGAAGTAACTGGTGTTTTCCTTTCCCCCTCCTCTCATCTATTTAAGGCACAGGAGAGCCATTCAGAAGAGCAGGGGGTCAAAGGGGAGAAGAGCAGAGGGCACCATGGAGAGTGAGCCAGGGGCCCCCCCCTCTACGGCCAGCAGCACGGGGACCACCGCTCCCTCCACCACCAGCCCCTCTGCTACTACCACAACAGCAAGCAGCAGCAGTAGCAGCGGTACCTCCAACGCTACTACTGCTACGACCACTGCTTCCACTTGCAGTGGTAGTAGCAGCAGCAACAATAGTAGTACTACTACTAGCAGTAACACTAGCAGTAGTTCCAGTGGTACCACTGCAACAGGCAGACAAACAGTGCCTCAGATTTCTGTTTACAGTGGGATACCTGACCGACAGACAGTGCAGGTGAGTTTGAGCAGCTAAAAACATTCATACCTCAAGTCAGTACTGCCCTCTGTCGGTAAACACAAACAAACACACATGCCTCTAATATCCACCTAAATTATTATTTTGTATTTCTAAATAGAGCTGCTGAATGAAATAGTAGCCATTTTCCATCTGCTTAACAGACTAATAATCAAAGCTCAAATACATGGATGTCACTCACTAAAAGGGAGGAATGCTTTCACTCCTTTAGTGCTTTTGACCTTTTGACCTGGGGATAAACCTCTACAGAGGCTCACAGTTCCCTGAAAAGGCTTCTCTCAACTTTAAGTGCTGATGTTTTGACAGCCTGGTTTTTGTGGGGTTCTCCTCACTTTCACCCCACTGATCATTGGAGGCAGATACGTTTGACACGTAAAGACCTTTGGAGCTTAAGAAGCTGCTGGTCTTTTATGGTCAGTGGCGGCAAAATATTTGTATCTGCCGCATCCCTGCTAATTGTTCCCTCATTCCAAGAAGTGTAGATCTGCAGGGTCCAGAGTACAGGTCACCGGCTTTGGTGGTTTCTGGGCAATCAGGCGGGAAGTACTTTGAGAGGTCAAGGGTGAAGTAAAAATAAACATCTTTGGATTATGGACAAAAAAAGGATAATTGTAGAAATGCTGCTTTAAAAAAATAACTAATCAAAATACAAAATAAGTTGCTGGTGAAAAGTTGTTAAGGTGAAAAGAGTTAAGCTTAAACAGCCCCTATTTAATGGCTTCATTAACAATTTTGCTTCACCTTTAATGAGGCTCTTGTTCTGTCTTGTCTCTTTTTTTCAGTATTTTAAAATTAACTTTTTCATTTTGATTTCAGTGACACACACACACACACACACACACACAGTTCTAGTTCTGCCAGATTAATTATATGTAAATGTTTCTTGTGCAGTGTAGCGACATTTGTGTTTCTCTGCTCAGGTTTTCCAGCAGGCGCTGCACAGACAGCCTAACACAGCAGCTCAGTATCTTCAGCAGATGTATGCAGCCCAGCAGCAGCATCTGATGCTACAGACTGCAGCCCTTCAGCAGCAGCATAGCCTCAGCACCGCTCAGCTCCAGAGCCTGGCTGCTGTGCAACAGGTCAGTACCACACACACACACATACCAATTGTTCTCATTGCATTTAATTTGACCTGTGTTGGTGTCAACAATGAGGCATTTATTTTTCTTTGTCTCTTCTTCAACTCTCTATTCTCCTTTTTCAGGCCAGCATTGCAGCAGGTCGACAAAACTCTTCACAGAACGGCACTTCATCTCAGCAAACTGGATCTAACCAGGCTACAGTAAGTGTAGACTTGTGTGTTGGCCATGGCTCCTTCAGCCATATAACCACATATTTTAGCCTTAGATTAGTCAGGAACTAAGTCGATATTTATCTCCAAGACCCTAGAGAGAAACTGAGTTTCTGCTTCATTGCTGCTGAGTTTTTAGATGTTAGACAAATATTCTGATATCAGTCTGATGAGTTCACATATTCAAAGCTTTTTGCCTTTGAGAGTCAAACCTGCTACATCATTAAAAAGAAAATGATCTTCCTGAAAATGCTGTTGAATTGAGGTGATTCTTGTACATTTTTACCCCAGAAGAGTTGAGATTAAGATGGCTAACCATTCTCTTTACGGTCCCACATAGATCAACCTGACCACCTCTCCAGCTGCAGCTCAGCTCATCAGCCGAGCCCAGAGCATCAGTACCACCCCCACCAGTATTTCCCAGCAGGCTGTTCTGCTGGGCAGCCCCACCAACACCACTCTCACAGCCAGTCAGGCACAGATGTACCTGCGTGCACAGATGGTGAGACTAGAAACAGCTACTTCAACAGCTGTGTGCACAAATACAGTACAGCACACACATCACTTTAATGACTATAAACACCCCGCACTGGTGACTAAATGTGTTTTGGATTGTTAAGTGTTTCAACACAGCATTCTGTGCAAGTTTAGTGGAGATGAAAATCCATTCATTAATGCTATAACTTTATCAGTCGTCATGAATTGTTTTAGTACACAAGTTTGTTTTCAGCTATGTTCAATGTGCTTTATTATTGTGGAAGGTCATGTTTTAAAAATTCATTTCTTAAGTGATGGGCTGGGCCATTTTATTATACTTTTATAAGACATATAGAAATAAAGTATATATGTTCTATAGTTATAGATGTAGTCGTACCCTAAATTAATATTTACAAAACCGTTAGCCTGCCTGTTTCTGCCCATCTATCTTTAACTTCATTCAGCTCTACCTCTCTTGCTAGAAGCCAACAGTTTACAGCAGAGTAAACATTAGACCAGGAGTCACCAACTGTATTTGTTCTAGGGTCAGAAATGTTCTGGACAGACACATAGGAGGCTGGACAAATAAAGATCACGTTTTTGTTTAACATTACTATTTGATGTTTGTTGTTTATTTTTTAATTTTATTGCAAAATTTAAGGCATTTTTAGCCAAAGTAAGGGATGCTCGGATTGTGTGAAAGTGAGAGGGATGAGTCACAGCTGAGATATATACTGTATTTGTCACAAATTAACATGAGAACTACTGCTGTGGTGATCCATGTAAATGAATGAAACAAATCTGTCAATTTTTTTAAGTGTTTTAAATAATAATAATAATAATAATAATAATAATACATTTTATCCTTCCCAGGCCCAACAGAGTAACTTGGTCCAAGTGGCGAGGAGCCTGGGTAGAGCTGTTCCTCTGTCTCCACAGCTAATCTTCACTCCCACAGCCACGGTAACAGCTGTCCAGTCAGAGAACTCTTCACAGGCCTCCTCACAGGTAACTCAGTTTTCCTGAACCCTCCAGAACAGTATCTGAGAGCAGGACAAGGATATATAAGAAGAATAACAGTATAAGACAGTACTACCTCAACCAGATTGTTTTATTTAAAAATAACTTTTATGTATTTAGTAGTTGATGCACATTTTTACGCAGATCATTTATGCGTAATAATTGACATTTAAACTAAGACGTAAAAAAGTAGAAGACAAATTAAGATAGTTTCTTTCTGGGAGATATAAATCAAGCCTAGTTATAAGTTAGCTGAAATATGGCAAATTCTTGGCAGAAAATAGTTACTTTTTACCCAGAAACAATATTAATGTATGGAACAAAAGTTCCTTGAAATTAAAAAAAAAACCCAAAACGATACGATACGATAACATCTACAATGATTGTATGTTGAAAAAAAAATCTTTAGAGAAAGAGGTAAACCAACTTTAAACCTTAACACATGTCTACTACAGAATCAGGTCCAGAACCTTGCCATCCGTGGCCAGCAGGGGGCGACCACTTCGTCCTCCTCACAGACTCAGACTCTGCAGGCTCTCAGCCTAAAGCAGAGCCCTGTACCCATCCAGCCAACATCACTGATCAAGAATCCCAGTGCAGGAGGAAAAAGCAGCTCCTCCGACAGTATGTGTGATGGAGGCAAAAAGGGAGAAGGAGCATCAGCAGTGACAGAAGTCAGAGCCATCAACATGAGCCGCAATGTCACTCCTCAGCCTCTGATTGCTCCAGGTAAGTGTTTATATCAAGAAAGGTTTAAATAATGTACAGTGGTGTGCAGCGGCTGGTTGAAAGATGGAATTTAAATGTGACAGCCGTTCTGACTCTCTGAATATATGACCAACTCGTGTTTGGGTACAACTGTTATAGACTTTAATGGGCTATTGTTTTATTCTTGGAAAAGTTTATTTGAGTGAATATGGATGTCCCAGCTTTTATTCTGTAATTTTACCAACTATTTAAAATTATGTTTTTATTATTATATAGAGCAGTTCTTTATTTTCCATACCATTGTTTTGAGGGCCAGATAAATTTAGCTTTAAATCTTTTCATTTAAAACAAGGCAGCATATGAAGCTAATCCGCCTGGATTAAGTCTGCAGCCAGCATTCTTGATGCACATTTCATTTTATTTAATGTCAGCAGACAGTTTTCACCGGTTGAAGGTAGAATGTGTTTATTTAAACTGTGTTTGTGTCATTGCCTATTTATGTTCTACTGTTGTACAACCCTTGTTGTACACAGCTGTAGCTTCAAATCTCTACTGCCCTGTATTAGAAGAAAAGGAAAACTTTAATTACTACAATCTGCTATTCCAAACTTACAAAGTAAACACTTTTACAAATCTATGAAAATTCCCCACGATGGCAGTAGGCAAAACATGGAAGGTCAGGTATTTTCCAGGCCGTGGGAATACAAACAGATCAGGAAAATAAAACGGCTCCAACCTTATGCCATCACTCAACTATGCACAAGTAGTCGATTTCTGCTCATAGGAGGGGTGTGTAGTCCGTGTGTGTGTGTGTGTGGGTGTGTTTATGTGATTGTGGGTTTAAGATGTGCTTGACTCATTCCAGTCCTTCATCGCAGGACCTTAAGGGGAATAGCAGTTACATGGAAGACCGGAGTCTTCCTCTTCGTTTAGCCTCTGGACTTCATTAGGGAGTTGAGAAAGTTGTCAGGATTCAGGCGGTGGGCAGGGGGCGGATCAGTTCACATCCAGCACAAACTCATTCTGAAATCCCCCGCCTTAGTCAGACTGTTGTTGAGAAATCTTCCATCCATCAATTTTAAAATTATTTTTATTCAGATTTACGTTGTTTGAATTAAAGAAACAAAAAAACAACTGTGGATGCATCACAAATGTTATCCATTCGTAATCATTTTGATGTCATTATAATACTGGTAATAATTGGCTTTGATACCTTGAAACTGTTATTTACAAACTGATACAGGTAAGAATATTTAAATATTTGTAATTGATGGCTTTCAGATTTGAGAATATGAGCCAAGCTTTGTGCCAAAAGAGCATTCAAATTGAAAGCAGTGTCTCCTTTTTCCAGTAGACAAATTGGCTTAACCTGTCTAGAACTATTTCCATTTCTCAATAAACAAATGAACACAATGTCATGTCAGTTATACTCGTTCAGCCTAAATTCACAATACACTTTACAATTCGAAGTATTAAAATTAATCTTAAAATATCCTTTATAAAAACTATTTAACAGGTGGAAGAAATGGAGGAATATATAAACAATCAGTTTTTCTACCAAATTTAAATGAATGCTGCCGAAGAAAACTGGATAAAAATCACATCTGTTTTTTTTAAATAAGTCTCAACAAATCTGACTTGGTGAGGTGTAACACACAGATAAGAGACATAAGTGTGTTTCTCACAGTAGATCTTGTTCCTGCCTTTGTTCCTGATTTTAAAATACCAACAGACAGCTAAACTACCATGAGGACAATGAAACAAACAAACCAAACAACAACAATGGCTGTTTCTTGACTGAATGATGTATTGGGCCCTGATGATAGTATTTATACCAGATCTTAATGGATTCTTCTGTGTTGTTACCATGTGGAAAAACCTACTGCTCCTCAGCCGCTCTGTGGCATTAAAGGGTCTAATGACATGCAAACTCTTCTGGGTAGAAACATCTACATTTTCCACAGCAGGGCAGAGGCTGTGGTTGGTGTCTCACAGGGAAAACTTTGAAACCAGATGGAGCCTGTCCCACGCAAAACACCATGAAAAAGGGGTGGGGGAGGGGCAGACGACGCTAATGTATTTAGCAGTTTCCCGTGCACAGCTTTATTGTGCGTTATATGAACATTAGCAAACTCATCTCCATGGTCACGTGGGTGGATGCCCCTGTGTCGTGCTTCTCTTCAGAAGTAACTCATTCCCTGTTTATGAGTCGGTTTTGTTTCTGTTTCCTGTGGAGGAGATGAGCAGGAACCTACTCACTTAATATTAACTTTGTCACGGACTGTTTACTCCAAGTGTTCCTTCCTGGGGCAGGTCTGATACATGACTTGCCTTAGGGCACCTTCACCTGAACCCCTGGTACAGCTACATGCTGAAACCATACAAGATTGATGTGCTGTGTGGTGGCCATTGTGACAGGTTTTCGTCTCAGTTTGTATGTGTGTGTTTTTTTTTTTTTTTCCACACTGGCACTGAAAGGTGGTGACAGACCATTTTCAAATGATTTGTGAGAAAAATTTAGGCCAAAACAGAAGCGGCGGGAGAATACACACTTTAGCAACCTCTGTTTGATTACTCCCCAGACAGCAGGGGGCAGACAAGGTGAAAGCAAGACAATAAATCAAGCTCCCCTCAGCAAACGTCCAATTTTTTTATTGCATCTCAGCCTTTGGCCCAATGTTGGTGATACACTACAGAGCTGTATGCTTGTGAGCTGAATAAAATCACATTATCGTCATGGTCTTCTGCAACATGTGGCTTTTTAAAGTGAATTTTACAAATCCACATTTAAAGAAGAAAATAAATAAATATACTCTTCTTTCTCCATCTTTACCAAAACTAAATGTGTTATTTTGCTGTTCCTCCTTCAGCCTACACTCAGATTCAGCCACAGTCCCTTGTGAAACAGCAGCCACAGTTTGTGGTCCACCAGAGTGCTGGTTCCCAGAAGACGACCGGTCAGCTGCTGCAAACAGCTTCTGTTCAGCCGTCACAACATCCAGTCCCGGTGCTGCCCAAACCTGCTCCACACCAACCTTCTACACCCAGCCAACAGGCCACCATCTTCCACTCTACCATCAGCCCACATGCCCTCCACTCCTCCATCAGCCACGCCAAAGCCCAGCCCGTCCAGCTCACTGCCATCAACCTTCAGATCCAGCCAACTGTGAGTACAGTTACACACAGACACACAGGCACAGTGACTGTTCAACATATGACTATGTAGATATTTTAGGTATTGGTTATGATTCACATCTTCATCCCACATTTGTCTCTAATGAGCGGTGATTGAGGTCCCAACGTTTTAGCCTGGAATTCCACTGAATTTATAAATACTTACCAGCTAAGCATAATACAGTTTTCCAAAAGGAGCCCAGGATCTGCTTCACTTCCAAGACATACATGTTAAAAAAGGGATCTGCTGAGTTTGGAATTCCTTCTGTAATATTTTCCCTTTTGTGTTCTTTTTTCCAGACGTAAGAGTTTTAAAATTGTGAGTCACTGACATTAAAAGCATTAACAGCTCCTGGTGTGTCTCATTTTGGATATCAGATGCACTCTCTTACCATTTTTCCTTCGTCTTTTGTTCCTTTTTAATCCATCACAGGCGTCTCGAACCCTTCAGGACAATAAAGACAAACCAACCTCACTAGTGGTGAGAGAGACGTGTCAGACTGCCTCCACTCAACAGCAGCAGCAGCAACAACAACCACAACAACAACAGCCGCCGCCGCAGCAGCAACATTACCAGCAGCAGCAACACCACCATCACCATCATCAGCACCAGCACCAGCAGCAGCAGCAGCAGCAGAAAAAGCTCGCACCTTCTCCGTCACAACCTGTCAAGACTGCAGACCAGCCCAAGGTCAACACCACTACAGTAGCTGTTCAGCCACAAGGTAATGATTCAGTGTGATTATCTCAATGACTCTCTGTGGAGTCATTGTTTAATGTTGTGGTTCATCAACTCTATACACAATTAGCCACTGGGGCAAGAACACTGTTTAAGAACTGTTAACTGTGACATTCTACCAGGACGTGCTTGCTCTGGTTTGGTTCATGATTTGTTTCAACAGAGAAGGGAGTATTGTAGGGCTTGAATTGTTTAAAACTACATGCTGAATAACTCTTTGTGTACAAGTCATTGATATTGACTTTAAAATGTTAAAAAGGTTTTTTGCCTACATTGAGTATAATAAAATTTCCCTGCCTATTCAAACTGTGGCTTTTGGGCCACATGTGGTCCAGCCACAACCTCCGAGTGGCCAAGTCTGTTGCTCTAGAGATTCATTTTTTTGTCCAAGCTTTAACTTGACAACAACATTTCAGAACCAAACTACTAAGTTAATTTCTTATTTACAATAATCTATAAGATGGTCTCTTCCTTTCTCTGGCTCTCTCTCTCTCTCTCTCTCTCTCTCTCTCTCTCTCTCTCTCTCTCACACACCCACTTTTTTTCTTTTTTTTTTTTCTCTCTCTCTCTTTTAAACAGTCATCCACCCTCTCTCTCATTCTCTGTCTGTCTCTCCCTCTCCTCGTGCTCGCTCTGGTTTGTGTGGGAGGTAACAGGGCGAGCGACTTTGTTCACACAGCACAGCAGCTTCAAACACACACTGGCAACAGCTGCTGGTCGGCGTGTGTGTGTGTGCTGCTGTGGAAACGACACAAATCAAACCACATGATTTATTTCTGGAGGAAGCCGGAGTTGGTGCTGAGGTAAACTGAGGTAACAGCATGGCAGCGGGGAATTGTTTACTTTTGATTGGTGGATGTTATTGACAGGACCATGTGGCATCGATGTAGCAGTGAATTTACTGTGTCTGTACTCAGCTCAGTCTGTCATTTCAAATATCTGTCTAAAATATATAGTTATTGCAGTCAATGGCATCGTGATGTTACAAATTTACTGGATACTCAGTTTGTGTTTCCTGAGATGCGGGGCGGGGCCGAAACCTGTACAGGTAACAATAGTTAATGTACCTGCTGCTGTGTTCTAGAACTGGGGTTTGCCTTTGAAGATGTATTTTGCCTCACAGCAAGTGTCCTCTAGTGGTTTGCAAATGTTTTGTGTCTGGTGAACATGATGTAAATGTTTGAGAACCACTGGGTTTAATGTTAGACTGTATGTCAGTGCAGCTGTGTAATGTGGCTTAAAAGGCTGGATGTATGAATGGTCAACTTAAATGAATTGTGCATTGTTTCTGGGAATATCTCCACAAACCACATACTTTACCAAACTGACTCTATGTTTTTGCCTAAATATACATTTTCAAGTGGATGTTTGTGAAACCTTCTGTCTTTTGGACTAGACTGCTAGGTGCCTCACAGAGGGTAGGTTCAGTCAAAAAAGACTCAGCACTGGGTTGTCAGCTACTGGCAAAAAAATTAAATAATTGTGCACATAAAATGTAAAAAAAATCTACTTGAAATGCCCTCTTTTTAATGTTAAAAATAAATATTAATAATCAAATGGTACTTAACTCCTGGAGTGCCATCTAGTACCCCCCCGGGGGAAAACATACCTGAATATGAGGACCTCAATATGGTTCTTCATCTCAAAGTGTGTTAGCCAAATTATGCTCAGACCACATTGTTGATGTGTTTGTCTTCCACAGAAGGGGGCTCAACAAAGAAGCCGACGGCTGCAACTCAGACTCCGCCCCCTGTCATGACCTCAGGAAATGAGGGTGAGGCCCCCAGCATGACGGGCAGCGCACCACAGAATGGGGAGAGCAAACCGCCACAGGCCATTGTCAAGCCCCAGGTGCTCACTCATCTCATCGAAGGCTTCGTCATCCAGGAGGGAGCTGAGCCGTTTCCAGTCTGTGTAAGTTCCTGATCCCAGTTTTACCCCAGAGAGACATAAGTTAATCCAAGGCTACCCCTCACACTGTCTCCAGTGTACATGGCTGCAGGCGACTGTCAGCTGACAAACACAAACCTTTGTTACTCCCACTAGTGAACGCTCACAGCTGGTGTTCAACACATTAAACTGAGTGATGTACAACTCTTAACTGACTCTTAACTGTGAAAACTGGTGGTGTGTTTTTGTGTGTCTGCATAATCAGCCTTATGCATTTCGGTCACTTTATAAATGCATCAAAATCAGTGTTTTACACCCTAATGTAATTTAAGAGAGGAAGAGAGAAGGTTTTGATAGACCTTTACTCTTACAATTTAGCTTTTTGCAAGAAATACAGTTTGACAACAACTACATGACATTCAAGCACATTAATGTGATTTTGAGACTCCTGCCTCCTCCTGGAGATTTTGTGTAAATGCTCACATGAAGATGTGAACAAATATCTGTAGTTCACATTTAAGAATTAAAATTATGATATTTAAAATGAAGAAGAAAGTGATGTTGGAGTGTTATTTAGAAGCTAGAAAATACCAAACATTTAAAATTTGAGTTGTATTTTTTCATATTTCCATGACAATTTTTCATGTTAATAATTCCATAATTTGAATATATCAAAAATATTCTACCTGCTGTTACTTCTCTTTCTGTTACAGTAATATACAGAATTATTTTGTAGGAGTGTCGATTTATCAGAACTGATCGTGATTAATTACAATTACAATAACAATCGTGATTATTCCACAACTTACCCTGTTATAAATCAGACTAAAAATCTGAATCATTTAACAGCCATGAAACTAGTAGTCTGTCTCACTTGTCAGGCCTTGTTGCCATAGTGTAAAAGTATAAATTAATTTTACTATATTTGGAACTATTCTCTTCCTACCACCAGGTGGAGCGTCTGCCAATTATAATCAACAGCCCAAAGAAGCTGGACCATCAGCTTTCCTCTGACCCAGACAAAACTCCTGTCAGCAATGCAGGGAACAGTGACTCTGAGGTGGAGGACATGAACCAGTCAGGTGGGTCAAACTCTGGCCTCGTATACCACAGATGGATTATAAAAACGACATACAATTTGGTAGCTCACTAATTTAAAAAAAGATTGATGTTTATATCCATGAATTATATAAAACAAACACTATTGTTCTCATAAATATGCTAATAAATAACAAAAACAATAATCAGCTATTTTACATTCAAAACAAACATTCTGGGATTTTTGGATGTGTTAGTTTGTGATTTCGTCTTTGTTGTTCAAAGAAAAAGAAGAACCAAAGCTGACCTGTGAGTACTGTGGCTGGGTGGACTTTGCCTATACCTTTAAAGCCTCTAAAAGGTTCTGCTCTATGGTTTGTGCAAAAAGGTGAGTCATCTGTTTGTTTCCTGAATTTATATAAAAAAACCTCGACCACTCTACTCGTACATATTGGCACTAATAATGCACCTTTGTACACAGGTACAATGTTGGCTGCACGAAACGCATTGGCCTATTCCGTCCAGAGAGGAGTAAACCCACCAGTCGCTGGAAGAGGAAATCTCAGGGTCGCCCCTGTGTAGAAGCAAAGAAACAGGTATGGAGAAAAAAAAAAACTTGCGCATTAATCTTTAAGACTTAAAGGAACATGTGTTAGAAGGTAAACACGTTCAGGCCCCTGAGAAAATAAAACTTTAAAGAGTATAGCAGGCCAGCTCTCATGGATATGGTGCATTCTGTGTAAAGACCTCAACAGAATATGACCACACACACAATCTGTCCTTCCCTGCTGCACATTTTCTACCCATCACTTGTCAAGCTCTTTGCCTTTAATGAACCTCAGCATCATTTTGGCCTTTAAAGGGTCATTAGGTGCTTTATGGTCCTCGTCAATCTTAACTGGACACCACCAGTAGTGCGAACATGAGATGAGCAGCATGTTGATTATATATATATTTTTTATTCTGTATTTATTCTATTCATTTATATATGATTTCTTCTTCATTTTACCACTTTTTTCTTTTAACCATTTAAGACCACAGAACAATGTGTGTGTAACTAATCTGCACTAACTGAATAAGTTGCTAGAAGTGCAATAAATTAGCGAATGATATTGAAAAAAAAAGCTTTTATATTTGGCCTCCAAATCTTAGTTTGTTGTGTTTTTTGTCTTAAGTTTGGGCCATTCAGCTTGATTTATAATCCAAAGAGTTCAGTGTTTCTAGATTAATTTTACAGGCATTGCTATCAATCCAACACTCCTATCAACGTCCTGCAGGTGAACTGCAGTCATTGGAGGCTAATGTATGGAGTAAATCTAACTTATCTTTGCTGTGACTAGCTCCATGTCTCAGTAGCGGTTGACTGATCGACCTTTTATTTCTCAGATCAAATTTCCACATCTTAATCAGATTCTTTCCTTTTGCAGAAGTTATCCCCCTCCCCACAGCAGACTCAAGGAGGTTCTGTGTCCTCGCCGCATGCCTCACAACCCAGTCAGGAAGAGTCCAGTCCATGCTCAGATATGTCCAGTTACGAGGAGCCACCATCTCCGCTTTCAGCAGCCAGCTCAGGTCCCCTGGCTCCTAACCCGGCACCAGCTCAGGTCCCCATCCGCCGGCAGCCCAACAGAGCCTCGGACCAGGAGGGCAGCACTGGGAGAGATGCTTCCTCGCTATGTCAGCGTCTGGTACCGAACGACCCGGCCAAGTGGAATGTGGAGGAAGTTTACAAGTTCATCCGCTCACTGCCAGGTCAGTTGAAAAAACAGAAACACTCTGTCTATTTTAACAATTTTTACTTTGAATTAATCCTTTAAGTCATTCACACAGGTTGTCAGGAGATAGCAGACGAGTTTCGGTCTCAGGAGATTGACGGACAGGCCTTGCTGCTCTTGAAGGAGGACCACCTTATGAGCACCATGAACATTAAACTGGGACCTGCACTCAAAATCTTTGCACGGATCAACATGCTTAAAGACTCATAGCAGTAATGTGTGATACGTGTGTGTGTGCGTGAGAATCCAAGCACGTAAAACCTTTATTGTAGCACTGACGGCGGAGTATTGCGGACTTGTTTTCTCCCACTACTGTACTCCTCCTTGTGATACAAGGTCACTGTGGCTGGACGTGGACTTGGCTACTGGAATATTTGTTGGGTACACAATGAGCACTTACAGATATTAAAGACGGAGAGTTTGAGGTTAAAAGTACAAAGTTAATAACTACTAAATGCAACGGCATCAGCACTGGGCCAGACCAGAAGCTTTGATGGTGACATGTCGCCCTATCCTTTATGTTGTCTACAGGATGTTGCCCGTACACTGACTTCAGTTTGAAGGCTCTTTAAACTTAAAAAGTTTCCTTCCCTGAACCAAAGACTCGAGGTCTTAGGTTTTGTTTTCTTTCTGTTTGGAGTATCTATGTAATCAGATCACACAACTGGAAGCAGGGATATCAGGCACAATCAGAAACACAGTAAACAAGAAATGGTTAATCAGAGATCAGAAACCATGCTAAACCATCCGAGGATAACAGCAGTTGTATGAGGGTCAAAAAAGTGTTAAGATGTATTTGTATCTGAAATCTTCCGCAGTGGTGTTTCTGTCAGAGAGTTCCTTGTCCCCGGTTTTTCTGCACTGTCTAATAACTGAATATATAAACATTTATTCTGATTTCAAACTTCATTTATTATAGTTAAATAAAACCCAGAAACAGCTCAGCATTTGAGAAAATACAATGATAAAACTACTTAAAACAGTTGGAGACAACTACAGTAAAACAGGTGTTTATTAACTTTGGCTGTCTGTTTGAATTAAAACACCCGTCTTTGAACTTCTTTGACCTATCCTGTCAAGAGTCACAGCTGAGGAAATAACACTAAATAATCTGAATAATTTCTGGATGGATTCTTTTCAGAAATGTCTGTACAGTGTGACAGACAGACAGACAGACTGAGAATGGGTAAATTCATCCAGAAGTCTTTTCAAAGGCCTTAAGACACGTTTAAAACATCACATTAAAGACAAGTTTTCGCAATGACGAATTTTAAACACTTGCAATTTTTGCTGGTCTCTTTCAATTGTTTAATTATTCAATTATAAGGCACAACATTGCTTTCTTATGGTTCAAATCACACTAAATTCCACAAGCACTTATTTTATGTTCGATCAGCTTTAATCCTACGAGGCTTATCCTAGAAATAACCCTAAACACAATGTACATAGCAGCGCTAGTGTGAAAAATGGGTGTAAATTACCCTTTTTCAAAAGTTATCCTTGTTATTTTAAAACTCAATGGTGTTAAAAATTTTGAAATATGCAAATTTGTTAATATGGCTTTTGGATTGTTTTCTGTTTTTGTAATGAAAAAAATCATCTATTTGTCTTTTGTGGTTGTGATGACAGGTCAACATTTTTAGGTCATGCTTTGTACAATGTTTGTATTTATCAAAAAAAAAGTTTGTTACAGCGACATTTTGAAATTATAAATGATTTGCAGAACATCCGTGTGCTGTTTGTGTTTTTGTCGCCCTCTGTTGGCTGCGGTTGTTCATTGTTGGTACTTTGTACTTATCGAGAGATTTCCTGGGCTTTTTTGTTTTGTTTTTTAGTTTACGTTGTTGTAAATAATGGGTCTTTCAATGAAACACAGTGGTCTTTGAATGCCCCTTTTCCCCATGAAAGGTGGAAAATACGACAACTGTCTGCGCAGGTGTGGTGAGTTTTTCAAACACAGACAGGCGCAGTGGACACACCCACTGTTTTCTTTCAAGAACGGACTCAACCATGATGAAAAAGTGTCTGTTCTCTTAGTTTCATATTTAAATTCGCATAACTGTCAACGCCACCTAATCTTATTACTTAAGCATAACATTTTAAATAATGTAATAAATCGTGCGATATAAAAATGGCTGACACTTGTCCTCAACTCCCCCATTTCTGAGGAAAATGGTTCAGTCCATGTTTAAACCTGCAGTTTGTAAAAGTTAAACGTTACAGTTCGTGTTTACAGTTCATGACAAAATTGTTCAACACTCGGCGTTAAACGTAACAGGTATGTGAACTTCAATTCATTTTTTTATTTCAAAAGTTTTTTTTGAATGTTAAACTTCTGTTTTGACGTGTACTTTAATGACTTATGTAGGGTAATTAGATGTTTAAGACAAATGTTAACGTTTGATATTTGTTGATATGGCGACGAAGCAGCTTTTAGTTCCTATCACTGTTATTGTTACTTTTCGCTTTCATTGTTATTAATATTGTTATAATAAAACTTAATTTTATGGTTGATTATTTTCATTAACTTTGAATAAGTTTACCTTTTTCATAAATATACGTCATATATAGAGTTATATCCTCAATGACAGTCTGACGTTACTTCAATTACCAGTATGGATAATTCAGTAAATAGATTAATGAATACATGAATAATAATAAAAAAGCAAATTAAATCTCCAATTTTTAACATTTGAGTGTTTTGTTGAATAATAGTTTCAGCTGTAATGAGAATAAATTAACTTAAACTTTGTTTATTATCATTTTAGGCCATTATTGTAATGTCAAATCAAAAAGACCAGGCATCTGATGGTTTCCCCACTGACCTGCCCTGTTTGGAAAAACTGGACTCTCCTACAGGTATGAAGCAGTAACACTTCTGTCATTCTTCTTTTTTCTAATTTACAATACTCAACATTGAGTAAGTGTATTTTTACAATACTTAATACATACAAATAAATTTTTAATTTTTAATTATCTGTGATCTTAGGGAGCCCCCCCATTGCCTCATCATCCAGCCTAATGGAGCTGGGAAATTGTGTATCCAACCTGAGTCTGGCCCATGAAATACTGGTGAACAAAGACTTCAGTTTGACCCCCAAGAAACCTCCTACAGACAGGTTAGAACAGGGGTGGGCAATTAAGTCCACAAAGGGCCACAGTGGCTGCAGATTTTTGTTCCAACCAGGCAGCAGCACACCTGGCTTGGCTTATTTAATCAACTGCTATGAGTCTTCAGAGAGTTGATTGGTCAGTCAGTGTGTTCTGGGTAGGTTGTACGAGAAAACCTGCAGACATTTGTGCCCAGGTCTGGGTTAGAAGAAACGTCTTCACAACAGAAGATGTGATGTTGGTTGATCTTAAAGCTGTTTCCTCGGTCAGATGTGATCACACTTGAACATTTGTTTTTGCTTTTGTTAAAATTAAATCGTTCTCTATGTAGTCTGGAGGACAGAGTGACACAGATCATTCACAGTGCTTTCTGGGACAGTCTTCAGGAGCAGCTCAGCAGTGACCCTCCAAACTACACTCGTGCTGTGGTTCTGCTGATGGAGGTCAAGACAGTAAGTCAGGCTTGAGAAGACTTTTGAAAAAAGTGTCTGAAATCAAATCTTTGGTCATTATAATCTGCATATATATATAATATAATCTATAATCTCAATTAGATGTTGTTCACACCACCTCTCCCTTTTCTTGTTTCATATCTTTATTAAAGTGCCTGCCGCCCCCCAGGGGGCATATTCCTTACAGCTTGAAATTCACTGCTTTCCACCAGGGGTTTTTAACTGCTTGTCAGTGTTCTACTTGTAAAATGTTAAAGCCACTGCTCCTTGGCCTCAAATTTTAAATATCTCACCTGCACCAAGTTATGTTCTGGATAAATTGTTGGACCCAATTTAATCTTTTTCAACTGCATATCTTTTGGAGCAAGGTTTTTCCACATATATATTTGAAGAATTAGTTTGCAGCAGGGCTGAAGAATGATAATGATAATGCCAGAGAATGATAAAAAAAAAAATCTATCCACTTTACTGCCAAGAATAGACTCTGTGTAATTCACCAAGCCCTGGACTCACACTAAGGTAAAAAAAAAAAAAAAAGAAGAAGAATTTATCATAATGCCTGTCCTTATAGTGAGCAGCAGTTGTCTCCTGGTGTTGCTGTAGTGAGAATGGTGGTGCCAGCTTCTAAATCTAAAATCTGTAAATGCGTAATAATGGCTATAATAAAGCTATGTTCAACACAAATGTATCCACTGTACTAAGTCAGTGGTTCTCAAACTGTGGTACACTCCCTAGTGGGGAAAATTCATATTTTCACATTTACATTTTCAATTGAATACATCTAAAACATACCATGCACAATTAATACAACATTTAAAAAAAATGTGTAGCTACTTGTGAATTTATGAAATAGGATTTTTGGTCTTTTTTATCTATTTACTTGTTTGTTTGTTTTTTGCTGCAATGCAAGTCTGTTGCTCACATAAGCACAGGCAGCATGGAATCATGGAATCACTTGCAAGTTGAACGTGGAACGAGCAGCGGGATTCTAATGGTCATCATGGTAGTACTCAGAGAGCTCAATGTTTTATCAGGTGGTACAGTGTAGAAAAGGTTTGACAACCACTGTACTAAGTACTTTGATGTACCAGTGCACTGAAGTTTCTTTGACGCTGTCATATTCATACCATTTCCTCTCAGATGCTTCAGTCCCTCCTGCTGCCCGGTCACATTAGACTGAGATCTCAGCTGGACGAGGTCCTGGACATGGACCTGATCAATCAAGAAGTGGACCACGGTGCTTTGGACCTCCATAGACTGGCAGGGTACATCATCAACACCATGGCGTCTTTGTGTGCACCTGTACGTGACCCAGAGGTCAGAGCACTGAGAGAGCTCAGGGAGCCAGTGGAGCTGCTGAGGTGAGATGTTCAACAAACCTGGAATAACAGTTTATCTGGTGAAATATTTTATTCAACTCCGGAAAACACTACTTTTCAATTGATTGAATTTTGCATATAGTAAAAATATATATTTTCATTTCATCAAAGAAAGGCATCCTAATATGATTTTTTATAAATAAATCCTCAGATTTTATTTTATTCTTTAATGTTTTTAGTATTTTAGTATTCCTATTTAGTTAGGTTGATGGTGGAACTACAGGGGTAAATGTTTGTTAAATAAAACATGAAATTGAATTCCTTTTAAGAGCTGGTCACAGAACCTTAAACATGTCATCATGTTCCTTTACAGTCATTGGGGAAAACTATGATTTTCTTCTATTTCTTCTCTTGTTCTTAATTCATACTTTTTTTTGTTTGTTTAAGTTATCTTTTATGTCTCGTCTTTCAGGAACATCTTCCTTGTTCTGAAGCTGATGAAGACTGACATGGCCAACTTCACTATCCAGAGTTTGAGGCCTCACCTGCTACAGCAGGCTGTGTTCTATGAAAGGACAAAGTTCCAGCAGATCCTGGACAAGCAGCCCAGTGAGTGTGAAGGACATTTCCCTGGTGCCTGTAAATCGTTGTACTGGCTGCTCATATGTGATTGATCAATGGCACCGGTGACTTTGTGAGCACATGACTTAGGAGCGTTGGTCGTTCCAGTTTTTAATTAAGAGTAAAATCGACCCATGACACTTCAAAGCACCGTCCCACCATTATTCAGCTTGGCTTCAGTTGGATGTGAAGCAGGACAGACAGTCGGTGATGAACTGTGGCTGTTCTGGCTCTGGTAAAGTTTTAGCAAAGCTCTGAAGAAAACTTCAGGCTGAAATTACAACAGTAAACATTTCAATTTAATACTTAGACCAAGGCTGATCAATTATGGAAGAAAAAATGTAAATAATACATAAAAATTTAAACAACTAAGAAAAAACCCACAGCACGTTATTTAGACCAATATATTTACTTGTTTTTTGCACTGCACGTAAGTAAACCCTTGTCCATTAGAGGCCACAAACAGAAACCTGCAGTAATAGTTATTCTCCTTTCTCACTATACATGGAATTAATCTATTCATTCCTTCTCATGTGAGTTAGCTTGTTTAGATCTTGATGTCCACTCAGCTTTGTTATGAGCCTGCCATGAAAACATCAGTCTTCCCCCAGTGGAGGCTTGCCTCATACTTTTTGCATGTCATACCAATATAATTTTGATATTAGAAGGTACATTTTTTAAAAATATAAACAATAAACATGTTTTTCCTTTTTACTATCATTGATGTAATTTCTTCATTTTACTTTCAGATTTCTTGGATAACACCACAACCTGGCTGGAAGCAGCAGCATCAGAGGAGAGGTCCATCATCAGAGCTCAGGCTGATTCTCCCATTCCTGGTGGACAGGATCTCACCAGTGCCACCTCTGTCCTGAACCGGGCCTACTTGCGATTGCTTTCCTGGGATCCCCAGAGCCAAAAATATCCTGAGGTGAGTTCCAGGATGTCAGGGTGGACAATGCTTCTAGTTCAACATCTACATTATATTGTCATGGAGAATACATTTAAAGAGGAGTATATATGAAAAAAAATCATGGGTGTCCACATAAACTCATTTTCCTGTAGTAAAACATTTGTGAAATTAATCAGATTAAATTTTAAACCTGTGTATTTTTACCCAGACTGTACTGATGGACCGAGCTCGCCTGGACGATCTTGGGCAGCAGCTCCAAATGCTGGTGCTGGAGGCGTCAGTGCTGCTCCTGGCCAAAGTTCACTGTGGGGACACACTTTTCTCTTCACAGGGGTTTGTAGGTAAACTCAGGCAGACCATCACTGCCCTGCTGGAGGGTAGTCACACAAGGTAAGTAGAGGGTTGAGTGATACATGTAGTGGCTGTCAGGAAGGACAGGTGGTGGAGGAGGTGGAAATGCTGGAGCTGGTGACAGGAGCAAAGTGTCCTGTCAGAACCGACTCCTGCAAACTTATTCTCTTTGGTCAAGTGCAGCAGCTCGTGATATTTAAGGTCTTTTTCACACTCTGTTCTAAGCTATAAAAATGTGCAATCAAACAGTTTTCCTCTTAATAACATTGATTAAACCCCAGTTTAATTTAATGGAGACCTCTTGAGAGACGAGGATATCGTCAGAGCTGTACTCAATAACCTCCTTGTTTTTTAGAAGTGAACATTCCTTATAAAATCTGCCCGTGACCTAATCCAAAACTAATGAAGGTAATTAGTCTAATTGCTTTTTTTTTTCTTGGTGCTGTAGGGAGGCTGACCAAAGGGGGGCACTAGTAGGACTAGAGAACACAGTGTTGCAGCAGGTGAAAGAAGCTGCAGTTCAACAGGCAGGAGCAGCGCTGCCCCAGGGACTGTATCTGCTGAGAGGGCAAATATCTGACCTGTGGAAACATGACAATGCCATCCGCACACTCATAGGTCAGCAGAGTAGAGAGGCTTCATAAGTACACATAAGTAATATGTGTGAGATTTACTCTGTCGCTGCACATTAGTGCTGTTATTTTACTACCACTGCTCTGTGACCAGTCTTACAGTTTTTATTAGGTAATCATGTAAGTTTTGTGTCAATAGACTGTATTGTACATGCATTCATATATATATATATATATATATATTTCAACACATTTTTAATTTTGAGTCATACAAACAATAAAAAGGATTTAAATTAGCAAAACAAAATAAAAAAGATTAATAACTGAATTTGTGATGATTGTTTAAATTGTGCATGAGCTTTTTGGTTTAGAAAAAAATCACTACCATTATGTATGTTTTCATTAATTAATAAGTCAGACTAGGTGGATACACAAATATTCCAAACACAGAACCAACTTCATGGTTTAGAAATTAAATATTTTTATTGTGTATTGCTTGTTTTTACATTTTTTTTTTTGCCTCTGTCAGAGAAACTTAATGTATTCTTCTGCGTATGCATTTTGTTTGGTTCATCTCTGTCTGCACTGAGTGTTTTTCTGAGAAGCTGCAGAAATTCTCACAGTCACTCCCTCTCTGCTCTCCCCTGTTTCCTTCCTCTCTCTCCCTCTCTCCATCAATCACAGGTGAAAGGGTACAGGGCTTCCTCCAGGCCATGCTGCAGGGCAGCTCTGCCAAAGGCAGTCCAGATTTGGCTGCTCCTCTGAGACTGGTGAGTGCTGAGCTGACTGAGCTGGGGACAAACTTTAGGCAAATCGTCAACTTCAATCGAACCGTCTTCGGTCCCTTCTATGCACCAATCCTCAGGAAACTGATGTTCCCCTCTGGAGTGGGGGAGGCCTGGCGCTAAGCTGATGTTAGGGACACCTTGTGCCCTTAAGAACAGCCGCTATTGGGCGTTGAACACGTGACTTTTGTGTAAATACAGCGAGTGAGAAGGTGACAGGGAAACCCAATGGTGAGATGTTACAGCAGATAAATCATTAAGTATAAATATATATATACGTGTATATACATATATGTTGTTTTTTTATCAGGGCAGTTGGTTCGATATTATTTTATTTCTTTAGATTCCTATTATATGTTGAAACAGAAACAAAAATATATAGAAACCATGTACAGAATTATTAATACAGAACATTTAACGTTACAAAACAAACAGGCGGTGACAAAGAAAAGACAGGAGTAACTCACAGTCGGTGTGTAAACAAGGAAATTCTTCATTTTTGTTTTTTTTTTGGGTTAGGAATAATATCTGTTCTAAAACATCTTTGTTTGGCTTGTCAGGTTCTTCTCCATCTTAGAGAAGTACAAATTACCAAAGGATAAATATCACGAAAGATGTGTATAATATGTAGCTGCATTCTTATATTCATGCTGTAGAACTTAAAAGTTTTATTTTTCCTCAAGTAAACCAAAAATATATATATTTTCTTTTTATGTTTCCCCCACAATAGTTGGTGCAGAAATCCACAGTCACAACACAATATTTTTGTACCATAGTACAAACATTAGCTCTCACACGGTTCTGCAGATTAGTGTAAGAAATACTGTGATTGTTCTGTATATTATGATGGGAAACCTGTTTCTGGACAATAACCACGGAGAAAACCTTCAGTGCTGTTAACTCACATAAACATCTCCATCCTTACACCAGAACCCTTATAATTAAATATTTCTGCAGTTGTAAACACGTCCTCCCCTCAGTCTTTCCACGGCAAAACACAGAATACTCACATTTTAATAACATAAAAAACAAATCGGTAAAACAAAAACGCTGTTTTGTGAACCCCAAACAAACATCCAAAAAATGGGGGACTATCAATAATCAACATCTTGGAATAAAGCTAAGAACACAATTATTAATATTAATACAATATTCCAATAATAAAACAACAGTGTTCCATTACTTCCAGTTTTCATTTCGACTCTTTATCACTTTTATTAATGTCTTTCTGGAGACATTGGTACAAATGTATCAATAAAGCAATTAAATTTGAAGTATTACTTGAATCACTATACATGACACATATTGAAAAATGTAAAAAAAAAATTAACTTCAAATTGTATATGCATAATGCAGTGCTTTGGAAAAAAGGTTAGTGTGTGATAATACTATAAATGACATCTACAACAATGAGACACTAGACCGTATATAACAAATGGAGAGTGAATACAGAGAGGGTGCTCTGTGTGAATGTATTTAGTTGAAATACAAAGCTACATTTTATCTAAGTTATGATGTTTATAATGTTTTTTCTGTCAATCCTATCTCCAGCCTGGTCCTTCTTTGTAATTAAACATTGAAATCCTTCTAATTCAAATCCCATTTAGAGGAAAATAAACAACAAATTGCAAAGCGAATGTGACACACGGTGTCAGTAAGCGTTGTGATGTTGCAGAGTTCTGTTGGACATTTCTGCTCTCCATCATACAGCCTTCACGCATATGCAATGTCTCTGGTCGTGCATTGTCATCTGTTTTACTCTAAATGGGATTATAATTCACAAGACTGGCATCACATTCAAGACCTCAAAGTTTAAGTTGATTAAACCCAATCTATGGCTTAAAGCAGTGCTGATCACTATTGTAGGGGAAACACCAAAAGTATTATGGTACAGCATTGTATTAGTGTCACTTTGAATTTTAAACAGCTGGTGTCAGATTCATTTACTTCTCAAACATCCATGAACTAAAAACCGTACCAACTTATAAGATATCCTTTCATCATCTTTATCCATAATTAATTAGGATTTAATTAGTATCATATTGCTTCAAATGTAAGTCAGTGTCACAAAGACAAAACCATACTCTGTCCACAAACATGGACAGAGCACCTAATGCTGGTTGAGTTCTTTTTTTTATTTTAAACTCTATATTTTGCTGCACTTCTCTTCTTTGAATAATTTCCACAGTTACTTTTGTTTCCAAACCTGAATTAGTAGAGATGCTCCTTAATGGTCTACAGGGCTCTAAATATAGGGGAACCCACACATCAGAGTCACATGCAGGTCTGGAGGCAGACTGAAGATCTGGTCCTGGGTGGACACGGACGTGCGTTAACGTTGTCGTGTGCGCTAGGACTTGGATCAGTGGACGTGGAGGAGTAGGGCATGTATAGAGTGAGATTGACGTAGGAGTGTGGGAGTGCAGAACTGTTGGGTCTGGCCCATTGCATAAGTCTTATCCCTCTACGTC